ATAAACATTATCTTTTACCAGCAGTTGTTTTGATGAATGAAAAAGTAAGAAATGCTTGTATATATAATTAATCAGTACTGAAAAGTGTCAGCACAAGCTTCCTGTGAACCTCTAAACTTGACAGGCCTCGTAAATTCCAAAGACAAACTGAATACCTGCCACAATAAACATTGCTGCTGCATTGTCATGATTTCATACATTTTTTTAATAAAACTGCCTACACTTGTGTGATAGTCCAGTCACATATTGTGTATTACATACAGTATCCAAATATCCAAATTGGCAAATGGTTAAAGAGGAACGCTTGGAAATGTATTTTTGGGCACTGGCTGGACTCATGGTCAGTTTGAAAAGCGATACAATGTGATTAGTTGCTCAGCTTGCATGTTCTATTTGTGATGATAATAAGGTCTGATGCATCCTAAACTGAGTAAGGAGAATGGAAAGTTATGCTAAACAAAGTGCCATGTCATGTCAGTTACATGTCATCAACAAAATCATCAGATTGAACAGTCAACTATCAGCTGTCATAACTCACATTACAGCATTCCTGACATGGGCCCAGGTCATTACACCTATTAGAAGGATAACTATTAAGTAAAGAGGTTAATAGCCTTCGTAAAATTGCCAGTGGTACAATTCTAGCTGAATTGTAAAAGAGGGTGTATTCTGGTCCTAATTGGACATCATATAGCTGTTTAGAAGCAATTCCTATGTGCGTCTAACACACTGCTTTACTTTAAACTGCCCTTTTTATACAACCCAGTTATCAAACTCCACTCAAACATGCCTATACTATAATTTACAGCTAGCAAACAGGTCACATTAACTGTTCTAAATGATATAGGCATCTTATTTATATCATGTTTAGTCTCTATCAAATTTAAATGCTGATATGGTTAGAAAAACTGGCATAAAGGGACAGGCTGATGAACACTTTAACACTTCTGCACATCTCTCAGACCGTTTGTATGGTCATGTAATTTTTGTAAACACCCTCCCCAGGGAACAGAAAAGATGGCTGCATCTGTAGCTCAAGAGCACTTGCTTGTCATTGAAACTGCCAAGGATACTAATATAGTCATTTATGAGAGAGCCTGTGACTCTATCAGATCAGATGTACTCTTTACAGTAGCCAAGGACCAGTGGACATTGCAATTGCTTTTCACTTTTAATATCGTTCATATAACTGCTGCTATTGTCTATTTTGGAATATAATTTATGTATAATTATTATTATGCAGAATTCATATAGCACCAACAGCGCATTGGTTTATAAAATAAAGGGAGACAGTACAGTTACAATACAATTCAAGACAATAGGGTTAGTGGGGCCCTGGTAGTGAGAGCTTACAATCTGTATTCTATAAATATTTTACTGAACCCTTTTTCTCTTAACGATCTAAATAAGAAATAAAGAATAATTGAAGAAAGATGCATGATTCTGGTAAAATACATGGTGGCAAATATTGCATTTGCACATAAAATGTTAACTGTTGAATTAACTACCCCTGTGTCAATCAATCACTCTTAGCCTCCTGGCACTTATTTTGTTGTTCTGTGAGCTGGAAAATCTTTGTGCATGGTGAAACTGAGAGCACAATTGTCACATTTTGACGTACAGCAATGGAGGGCAAACAGATATGTCTAGCTGTCTATGATTAGGGCAGATGTACAGAACCTGAAATGTTGCCCATAGAGTTCAATTAGGGTTGAACTCCAAAACAAATAGATAGTGTGAATCCACCTTCAAAACTTAACAGAGGCTGTAACCCTACTCTATTAACATTTTTACACTTTAGTGTATTTTGTTTTATCAACTGATGTCAATACCCTAATTTGATCAGTATCAACATCTTGCAATCTCCCATAAAAGAGTTCAGACAAGGAGAGGGACACAAGCAACACAGGGAGTCAAACAGTTGTGCTACAGCAGGGTTGTCAAACTCAATTTCATCACGGCCCGCATTAGCATTATGGTTGTCATCAAAGGGCCAGCTGTATCTGTAAGACTAGATGTCCAGAGCACCCCCCCCTCTTACATCAGATGTCAAGGACCCCACCCACCATCAGAAGTAAAGGGTCCCCCACCCTCCCTTACATCGCAGTGCACCCCTTTACATTGTGCTGCTGCTGGAATTAAGCTTAGAGCAGCCCTGGGAAGCAGAAAGTGCAGGGTCAGTAGGAGGACCAGAGGAGGGCCAGAATCTGCTGATTGCTGGGACCAGGGGAGGCAGAGACAATGGATTGTTGTGGCTGCACAAAGAGGCACAGGGTCTATAGGAGGCATTGAGGGAGGCAGAGAAAAGCCTCTCCACTGTTACATGGGAGGGGCACAATGAAATGGCCTGGTGGGCCAGATTTGTCCCGCAGGCCTAGTATTTGACACATGTGTGCTACAGTGCTAACAAAGAACCTGCTGATAGTAGGAGAGATCACAGTGACATAGATGTGAGCTCACTGCTTCTTCTTCACTGTTCAATCACTTTGGCAGGTAAAACAACTCTCTTCTTAAAGTTCAGTTTTAATTATCTCTGCCACGGTAGATACATTCATTCAAAGCATATGTGAACATCACTGAGCTTAAAATGATCAAAGGTTTTGTTTGCAATTCGATATGAGACAAAACCTATGAATACCATATTTTTTTATAATATACTGTACATTGATTAGAGCATTCTCAGATACAATGCTTTACTAGAGTACTGTTTTGGCTGGAAACAGGTCAGCACACATGTCATTCAGATCCAGCTACATTTTTTTTTAAAGATGTTCCTTTTTCAGATGTCCTGAAAATAAATTTAACTGAGGGTTTCGTCTAAGTTATGCATTGCTGTTTTCTGTATAAGACCTAGATTCCATGTCCAAGTGAAACAGCTGTATTTACAGCTGTTTGCCTTGTCATCTAGTACCTTCACTTGACTGTACACTTCGCCCGGTAATAAATAAGCGCCATTTACAGCTAGCTTGAGAAAACACCATTCTATGAGTAAAATAGCCCATTTGTACTGTTTTTATTTTTAAACCCACAGTAAGGCTATCTAGTAATGGGTTACAAATAGGAAAGAACTGAACAGCTGAACAAAATGCCCATATTTGGCAAGGTCACCCACAGGAGTCCCTGCAAACAAAAAAGATGGATGTTCTGTGGAAACATCATTGACACCACCTAGAATCCATGGCATTGTTATTTACATTCCAGCTGTGTCAGGGATCCGACAATTGTGATGGGAGAAATGTTACTTATTATAAAGGAGGCTTCCAGATTCCTTTAAGTCGTTCAACACAAACTGCCACATCCTCTTAGGGCAAGAGATAATGGGAAGAGGCCCTTGTCCTTCAACATTTGGTCAAAGTGCCTTGCAAGGGGGAAAGGCATTGCCACCCCCTCTTGCAAGGTACCCCCCCCCAGTGTTGAAATGTATGTGACCTGGTGTGGTTCAGGAGGGGTAGTTGCATGCTTGCTGCTTTACCTTTCATCTCCACCCAGACCCCATACCTAGTGTGGTTGAAATTTTAAGCAGCGCTGCACTCTGTTTTTTTTCCTTTTTCAATGGGTACTGTCACTTTAAAAGAAACAAATTGTGTAGGGTACCCAATTATGTTTTAACCAGGCGCTTATTCAGTTATGGTGGCAGAAAACATCACCAAGTAGACATGATTGGCAATGAATATATGTCACTGGGCAACTTGACAATGACAACTGGCAATGGATTTACATACAGTTGCAAGAAAAAGTATGTGAACCCCTTGGGATTACGTGGAGTTTTGCATGAATTGGGCATAAAATGTGCTCTGAACGTCGTCTAAGTCACAACAATAGAAGAACACAGTCTGCTGAACATAATACTACACAAACATTAGATGTTGCCATGGTTTAATTGCACATAACATGTAAACATTCACAGTGCAGGGAGGAAAAAGTATGTGAGGCCCTAGCTTAATGACTTCTCCTAGAGCTAATTGGAGCCAGGAGTGAGCCAACCTTGACTCCAATCAGTGTGATGATATTGGATGTGTTGCTGACAGCTGTCCTGCCCTTAAAAAACACACACCTGTTTTGGGTTTACTGGTTTCAAGAAGCACTGTCTGATGTGAACCATGCCTCGCAGAAAAGAGCTCTCAGAAGACCTACGATCAAGAATTGTTGACTTGCATGAAGCTGGAAAGGGTTACAAAGGTATCTCCAAAAGCCTTGATGTTCATGTGTCCACGATAAGACAGACTGTCTACAAATGGAGAAAGTTTAGCACTGTTGCTACTCCCAGAAGAATCCCAGATTGTCAGCTAAAGACCTACAGAAATCTCTGGCACATGTTAACATTTTTGTTGACACATCTACAATAAGGAAAACATTAAACAAGAATGGAGTACATGGGAGGACACCACGGAGGAAGCCATTGCTGTCCAAAAAGAATATTGCAGCACGTTTGAAGTTTGCAAAAGAGCACCTGGATGTTCCACAGCACTACTGGCAAAATATACTGTGGACAGATGAAACCAAGATTGAGTTGTTTGGGAAGAACACACAACACTATGTGTGGAGAAAAAAAGGCACAGCACACCAACATCAAAACCTCATCCCCACTGTAAAACATGGCGCAGGGAGCATCATAGTTTGGGGCTGCTTTGCTGCCTCAGGGCCTGGATGGATTGTTGTCATTGATGGGAAAATGAATTCCAGAGTTTATCAAGACATTTTGCAGGAAAACGTACCACCATCTGTCCGCCAACTAAAGCTCCGCAGAGGATGGGTGATGCAACAGGACAATGACCCAAAGCATGCAAGTAATTCAACAAAACAATGGCTGCAACAGCACAGAATATGCCTTCTGTAGTGGCCCAGTCAGAGTCCTGACCTCAACCCGATTGAAATGCTGTGGCATGACCTTAAGAGAGCAATTCACACCAGACTGTCAAGGTCCTACCTTTTCCCAGAGGTTATGTTTCTCCATGTGCTGGCATCCATGTTGGATTTCTGCAGAGCATGATGGGAATCTTTTATGCCTTCTGGTCTCTGAGGTCCATCCCCCAGAGGGGTGTGGCTGATTACATATAAGCCTGTTGTCAGGGCTCCAGGGTATGACCAGAGGTATGTGACTGACGCAGGGAAACGCAGGCTTCAGATATGTTATAAACAATAAGACAATTTATTAAAGACTAACCATACAAACATAAACGCAGTGCAATACTAAAACATAATAACAGTGCAAACGAACCAAACCAAACCACCCACAGATAACAGTACATACAATGCAAGCGTCGTCAGGCAGGCCGGGTCAATAACAATCGGGCAGGTAGGAACAGGGGGTCAGGCAGAGAATGGTCGGGGTCACAAGCCAGGGATGAAACAGGAGAAGTCAGCAGAGGTCCGGAATCAGGCAGGGTCAGCAACGAATCAGACAGAGACAGGAACAGGAACAGGAATGCAGGAACAAGATACAGGGCCCAGGAAAAACACACACACCAAGGCAAAGACTGCAGGTCTGGCCATCACTTAAATACACCTGCATAAGCAGTTTCAGGTGTTTGGCTGGCTGCAGGGTTGAGTCTCTGATTGCTGGGAGCACCCGCTGGCCAGCCCTGGTACTGCAGCCCACAAGGCAGGTGAGTCCCACCATTACTGGCAAGTCCATTCCTGACACCTGTGGTCCGCACATGCCCTTTGCACTTGTGTCTTGTGTCTTTGTGTTGCTATTACTCTGTTCTGACTCTCGTGACTCTCCTGGAATCTGACTCAGCTTGTGACCTGACCATTCTTTGTGTTCTTCTTTGATCTGACCCTCCGTTGCTGAACTCGGCCCGTGACCCGTGATTCTCGTCTGCTGTCCTGTACCGTTTTGTCCCGTTGTTGTTGACCTGGCCTGCACGACTACTCTATTGTCTTTTCCACCAGCTACACGCCATTGGCGGCGGCCATTACCGCAACTGAGGTGTCTCGGGGGCCGCAACCTGGTTCCTGGCTGCGTCAAGTCCATCCCCACCATCAGGGGCCCTGGTGAAGGGCAGCCTGGGACTTAGACTCCGCGCCCTGGGGGACTTCGGTCTGTGGGTGGTGGTTGTCGCCAGCCAGTGCGTTACATTGTTATTAGGCCTGCCTGTCCGTTCCTCAGCTCCTGCCCTGACACAGACATCCCAAGAATATTGCTACACTGAAACAGTTTTGTGAAGAGGAGTGGACCAAAATTACTCCAGATCGTTGTGCAGGTCTGATCTGCAACTACAGGAAACATTTGGTTGAGGTTATTGCTGCCAAAGGAGGGTCAACCAGTTATTAAGTCTAAAGGTTCACATACTTTTTCCTCCCTGCACTGTGAATGTTTACATGTTATGTGCAATTAAACCATGGCAACATCTAATGTTTGTGTAGTATTATGTTCAGCAGACTGTGTTCTTCTATTGTTTTGACTTAGATGACGTTCAGAGCACATTTTATGCCCAATTCATGCAAAACTCCATGTAATCCCAAGGGGTTCACATACTTTTTCTTGCAACTGTAATTGTTCACCTTTTTAATGTCATTTTTAGTAAAGGACTTTCTCACAGTGTAGGTGTCTTTCTTTACTGTTAACTCTTTTTGAAAATGTATATATTTATTTATTTTAGGTGCTTATATAGTGCTGTCAATTTACACAGCACTTTTCATATATATTGTACATTTGCATCAGTCCCTAACCCTCAAGGGGGCATACAATCTAAGGTCCCTAACTCACATTCATACATACACATACTAGGGCCAATTTAGACAGGAGCCAATTAACCTACTAGCTTGTCTTTGGAGTGTGGGAGGAACCCCATGCAAACACAAGGAGAACATGCAAACTTCAGGCAGGTGGTGTTGTGGTTGGGATTTGAACCAATGTCCCTAGTACTGCCAGGCAGAAGTGCTAACCATTTAGCCACTGTGGTGCCCAAAATGGGTAAGGGGTACTAACAGATCATCCAGCATTCAGAGCAAAGATGCTAAACTGTGATCAATTCCCCCGCCCCCCTTTAGTATATGTGAGCTAAGGGATTCTATCCCTAGCAGTCATTCAGTTGTCAAAATCACTGCCAGCTCCAGATCTATCAGTCAGGTTTTGCTTGGTCCTGGAAGTGCACAGTGATGTCGTGAGTCTTTTCTGCTGTGTTCTCTGCCTCTGCTGGTCTCCTGGTGCCAGTATCAAAAAGCTGAGAATGCATACCAGTCACAGTGGAGTATGTAGTTGTAGAGGTTAAGGGGAAACAAAGGGTTTTTTATGTTAAAACACCTACCCTTATGAATTAAGTATTTAGTAGCTAATACGTCAGGAAAAAAAAAAAAGGAAGTGGAAAATAGCAATTTCTTTTTTAACCTCCTTGACGGTATTCCCGAGTGTAGCTCGGGGTAACATTTCAGTACCAAAAGCGGTAACCCCGAGCTACACTCGGGCTTACCCTGCGGCACTGCTCCGGCATGTTGTCTTCACTTACCTTACCCTGCGCTCCCACGATGTGTCCCCTGCAGCGTCCCCGGCCATCTCCTCCGGCCGATGCCGGCATCCGGCTTCTGTGTCCTGTCCCTGTGACGTCGGGACGTACGGGCGCCGCCGCCGGCGGCGGCGGGAAATTTAAAAATTTTAAAAAAAATGTCATTTTTTTTTTTTACATTTTTCATAGTAAAACATTGCTGTTTCAACCAATTTCACATACATATTGTCCCTAGTGCTTTGTCCTGTGCCCTGCCTGCATTTTGTCTGTTCTTTCTGCCTGGAAACTGAGAAATGTCCATGGCATCCAAAAAGTGTCCCTTTAGGTCAAAAGCGGTTTAGATCAGCTAGAGAACAGCGATAGTAAATCAGAACCACTTGCAGAATTGAGTGATAATGATTCGTGGGGGAAATTCGTCATCAGACACTGAAAACGATTTTGCAACTTTGCTCAGAGATGTGCGAACTTGGCGCTATATTTCACATTTCAGTGTTTTTGGTTTGATTATATTATTGAATTAAATTTTTTATTATTTTTATATTATTTTTTGATTATTTATTTTAAATTATAATTTATGATTTTTGTGTTTCAAATTTTATCATACCCGGGGATGTTTACTAGACTCTTGTTCGGACAGATTTCAGTGAGTTTTTCCTAAAAATTACAGCCTACAATAAAAAAAAATACATATTTCCATGCAAAAAAATGGTACCGCTTTCAGCACCAAAAATCTGAAATAATCATACCGCCAGGGAGGTTAACAGTGGGCACATGCTTGCCACAAAAGCAATGAACACCGCTCCAGGTCAGTCCTCTCTTCCACTACCACTCACACACCTTGTTTCGGGTGCTAGCCTTGTCTGCACCAGACTCCAATAATTCCACAGCATGTCAGGGACTGCAGAACTCCAGGTAACATGTTTCACACTCCATTATCTCTTAGTCATAGTGACTAAGCACTAATGGAGCGTGAAATGCATTAGATGGAGTTCTGCATTCCCTGGCATGTTGTGGAATTATTTTATAAGAAGGAATTTCTAATAAAGGTGATTTTACTGGATGTGCGGCTATCGGATGTTTCTTTGCCTATGGGCATATGCTTGTTTTGATGTCTCTTTAAATTTTAAAAGTTGCCATTTGGACTTTATGTTTGAAATAGCTTAAATAATAAAATACAACAAAACCATGCAACAGTTTGTTAGGGTACATTCACACAAGGTGTAGTAGTGTAGTATGATGTAGTAGGACTGTGTTGGGTGGCTATTCCAATGCAGTCCCACTGCAAAATGCCTTGTCTCCTGCCTGGCCTGTTTACATCATTGCAATGTGGTGGTGTGCTTTTAAAAAAGTACTGCATGCAGTACTTTTTCCAGCAAAGTGCACTGTCAGGCAATCCACACGGCAGCTAATAGAACCTAATAAAATGTCACTGTGTGGCACTACTGTTATTCCACTGCAGATTAGCACAACAACAGTGCATAGAGAGCTTTATGGAATGGGTTTCCATAGCCAAGCAGCTGCATCCAAGCCTTACATCACCAAGTGCAATGCAAAGCGTCGGATGCAGTGGTGTAAAGCACACCGCCACTAGACTCTAGAACAGTGGAGATGTGTTTTCTGGAATGATGAGTCATGCTTCTCTGTCTGGAAATCCGATGGACGTTTCTGGGTTTAGTGGTTGCCAGGAGAACAGTATTTGCCTGACTGCATTGTGCCAAGTGTAAAGTTTGGTGGAGGGGGATTATGGTGTGGGGTTGTTTTTCAGGGGTTGGGCTTGGCCCCTTAGTTCTAGTGAAGGAAACTCTTAAGGGTTCAGCATACCAAGACATTTTGGACAATTTCATGATCCCAACTTTGAGGGAACAGTTTGGGAATGGCCCCTTCCTATTCCAACATGACTGCGCACCAGTGCACAAAGCAAGGTCCATAAGACATGGATGAGCGCATTTGGGGTGGAGGAACTTGACTGGCCTGCACAGAGTCCTGACCTCAACCCGATAGAACACCTTTGGGATGAATTAGACTGTGAGCCAGGCCTTCTTGTCCAACATCAGTGCCTGACCTCACAAATGCACTTCTAGAAGAATGGGCAAACATTCCCATAGGCACACTCCTTAACCTTGTGGACATCCTACCCAGCAGAGTTGAAGCTGTTATAGCTGGAAAGGGTGGGCCAACTCAATACTGAACCCTACGAACTAAGACTGGGATGCTATTAAAGTTCATGTGCGTGTAAAGGCAGGCGTCCCAATACTTTTGGCAGTATTTTGTGTCCATAGATTTCTATAAGGTTTAGGGTTGCCTGGTTTGATTATACCTTGTTACACATTATAATTTTAGTTAGAATAGTCCAAGACCTTGACTTATTTGATATCTCCAGTAAATATGCTGGTCACCATCTTTAATGTATTTTCCTTCCAATGTAATTCATTTATCAGTATTGCTTCATTCATCCGACATCCAGCATACAGTCACAGATGGAAAGGTTAAAAGAAAAGGCTTTTTTCAATTCCTCCATATGTTTTCCACTCAGCATTGACCTTTGGTGATAAGCTGGTCCAAAGGCAGTCGGTTAAGCATATCAAATAAAAAAAAAAGAAATATTTACAAAGCCATTGTCAAGAGCCTGAAGCTAAAGGAAGATTCACTGCTTCCTTTAGCATATGACTCTTGTTATTTACTTTGTTTTGTATGACCTCACTGCAGCCCTCAACACATTTTCATTGGTTATCTATGAATCACAGATGTGTATTCTTGATCCCTGACATCATGGATATTTTATTCCCATGTAATTCTGATTCACAGATAAATAACATTCATGGAGTAACAAAATTTGGATACTGATTCTTTTGTTTTTACAGCTCCATCATCCTACCACTCACCTTGTCATGTTACAATGGATGAACCGAGTTGCCCTGGGTTCAGTTAGAGCAGGGTTCAGAGAACTTCAAAGAAGTTCAGATGCAGAATCTAAACCCCACTGGAATTAATAGGAGCTGAATCTGTCAAATTAAAAATACCCATTTTCTGGGCTAATAGGCAAGGGGATGGCAAAACAGCTTGGGGGTAGGAAGATGGGCACTGCCCTGGTGAAAAAAATAAAAATTCTAAATTCCATTCGTCCTGGAATATGTTTTTTTTTAATGCTTAAAGTGAAACAGTAAAAACCCTCTATCTCTTTAAATAACATGCCTCTCATGTGTGTTCACCCACTATGGACGAGAGCAATTTTTACATTTCTGCTATGGACCTATTTTTTTGAGAGTAGCTTTGTCATTACTAGACATGTGTGTTTCGTAACTAATCGATTTTTGGACGAAAGTGTGATTTTGATGTTCACAAATCTTCTAATGGACATAATAATGAATGTCAACAAATCCAAAGAAAGTTACAGCAAAATTAACAAATGCATTTGTTTCATTCAGATGGTGTCACATGGCGTGATAGTAGTTCAGGCCCATGGGGAAATAAATTACATTTTTGAATTAGTTTTATAATTTTGATT